GTTAGCAGATCCGGTATAGGTGGGGAGGGATGGGAGGGTTTTCAGGGGTGTGTGTTTTTGTTAGTTTGTTTTTTGTTTGTGTTTTTGCTAAAAATAATAAAAAAAAACTTTGAAGAAAAAAAATTACAATAAAAGGGCAGCATGTGAGTAAATTGCGAGAGGAGGAAGGATTTAGTTTAAAACTGAACTTCAGCCCACGTGGAGTTCCTCATGGTTCCGTTCTCGGTCCTGATTAATTGTTTTTAGAAAGTTTTGCCTAAATGATGAAATGTTTTGTTAAAAAAGGAAAGTGTTTTTTAAGCTCATAAACAGCACAAGAATAACMGATGAATCACAACTTTAATCCTAAACTCATGTTAAATTTTATGTCATTTTATTGGAAAAAGTCGGACAGTTTGCAGCTCGGATTATTCAGAAAGCCTGAAATCAGCTGATAAAAGCAGGCGGGGTCAGTGTGAGACTCTGAGGTTAGAGAAGGAGAAGAGAGGCAGTGATACCTGAACGTTTGTCTTGGCAGCCCAACGAGAGGAAGAGGAGGAGGGAGGAGGAGTGAGAGGGGGATGGAGAGGAAAGGAGAAGACAAAGGAAAATGGAGGAGAGAGAGATTACTGTCGTGACATTCGGTGAAAATGTTTGAAACTTTTTCGGCTCTGCTGGAGATTTCAGCTGCTCTCAGACGAATCGTTTCAACAGAACCCGAAAACTAAAACCAGATCAGATTCATCCGATCTGGACCAGGTTCATGCCTGACTCTGAATCTGTTCCTCTTCAGGTACCTCGATCTGTTTGTAGTCGCAGACGGCCCTGATGGGCGTGGCGGCGTCCAGCGGGTTCTCGGCGCTGCGGGGGCGGAGCTGCACCACCGTCTTGGCCCGGCCCACGAGGCTCGCCACMGTACTCCGATACTCGATCAGCTGCTCCTTCTCCTCCTGCAGGAAAAACTAAATTAACTAGAGAATTGCATTTCCTGCGAAACAYGTTCAATTTGAAAARCTGAAAGGAAMAAAAAAATCCTTAACTGCAGAAAAAATGTAGGAATGAGCAAAAAGATAAAAAAGCAGAAAACAGCTGAAAATCTAAAAACAAAATATAACAGAAAGCAACTGTATGAAGCATAAACAGCTCAAATGTGAAGAAATAATTACAGTAAAGTTGAATATTGCAGTCAAATAGCAGAATGTAGAGTTTTAGCTAAAAAAGCCAAAAAATGCTAAAATTAGCATAAAAAATAAGCTATAGGCAGCAAAAACAAGTTGAAAGAAGCACCGAGATGGTGAAAGTATTGTAAAAATATAAAATTAGCAGAATGAAAACTGCCTAAAACTACTAGAAAAGTCACAAATTGTAGTAAAATAGCTAAAACAGCTGAAGTTTTCAGTAAAACAGCTAAAACTAAGTTGGAAATGTTTAGATTAGCATAAATAGCACAAGTTTGCTGAACTTAGCAGAAATAAGTTGTAAAAGCTACAAAAAATATGTACTGAGCTTAAAAAAGCTAGCTAATAACAGCTGAACATTAGCTAAAATTGCAGCAAATGGCTGAATATAGCAGATAGAAACTGTAAGAAGCATAAATAATACAAAGT